AGAGCGGAGGTAGGGCTGTAATACCTCGTACGTCTACCTATTATAGTAGGGAAGACGCGCCCGTATTATAATTAGTCGATAGCCCTTAATTCTTATAGCTTTATATCCCTTTACTATATTGTATACAAGGATAGCGCAGTTAGAGTTAGACATTATATTAGAGGTGAGGTTTAATATAGTTATATAATTAGGTAGTTAAGTGTTTAATTTAACGCGGGCTAAGCAGCTTATTAGACTTGCTAAGTTAGCGGCAATAGAGGTCGTAGAACATAGACAGGCTACAAAGGCGCGGCCTTTAGAAGGGAAGCGTATATTAGGGCTAAAGAGGCTATACGTAATTAGCATGTAACTAGGCCGAGTAAAGCTAGGGTCTTAGTGCCTTAGGCAGGGCTTAGCGCTTAGCAATAGGCTAACTTGCCTGCCTTCCTCCCTCTCCTCCGAGCTCCTTATCGAATACTACTCGTACCTACTACTACCCTATCTACCTGCTAATATACCCTTCTTACAACTAAGGAGGTAGCCTTCCTTAGCTTCCTCGTATTAACTAAGGGTGTTAAGGCTAATCCTAATCGGATTAAAACAATTACTAAATTGCCTATTCCTACGTCTATTAAAGAGCTTTAATTATTCCTCGGTTTTGCTAACTTCTACCGCCGCTTTATTAAGGGCTATTCGAGGCACGTAATACTATTAACTAAGCTTACTAAAACTAAGGCCAACCTAACTAGAGAGTTTAAATAGACTAATAGAGTATAAGCCGCTTTTAACGGTCTAAAGCAACGCTTTACCGAAGTCCCCTTATTGCACTATTTTATACTAAGCAAGCAGATCCGTATTAAGACTAACGCTTTATAGTTCGCTATATCGGCTATTATATTATAGCAATTAGATAATAACAATTACTAGCACCTAATTGCCTTCTTTTTACGGAAGATAATCGATATAAAACGTCGATACGAGACCTACGAGTAAGAGCTCTTAGTAATCGTAGAAGCCTTTAAGTACTAGCGCTACTATCTCGATAGTGCTTAGTATACAATTCAGGTCTATACGGACTATAACAACCTACGTAGTATTACTAAGGTTATAAGGGTTATAGGTCGATAGGCTAGATAGGCCGTCTTCCTCGCCGGGTTCGATTTTAATATATTATATTAGCTAGACGTAAGTAACCCTACCGATAGCCTATCGAGGCGACCTAATTACGATAGCGAGACTTAGTATATCAATTTATTGTTTCTAACCCTATAGTATAAGATTGCTATAGCCTGTATTATTAATAAGCAAGCGTAGAATAAGCGGACTTCCGGACCCCGCGGCGGTAACAAATACTATAGCGGAGTTATCGTTCTTCTAGTATACGTTAAAAGAAAGGACGTAGATCGCTCGAGCTATAATAACTCGATTAAAGACATTGCTATCTATAGTAATAGCCTATATAGCGATAGTACTATAGAAGAGGTTATAGTAGTTCCGGCTGCTAGTACTATTAGATATATATAATACGTACCTCGTTCGATAGTACGGGCGCTGTTAAATAACCTTATAAATAGGGATAGTTAATCGTTTATAGATAAGCTATTACGTACTTAGCAGAGGGACGCCTTTACTATCGAGCGTATTAATAGGCTTGTAAGTAGACGGGCGACTCGATCTAGTAAGAGTAATAATAATTAGTCGATCGACGATAAGGGTTACTTAAAGTTTAAGGGTAGATACTATGTCCCCGCTAAACAATCGATTAGACAAGAGCTTTTAAAGAGGCACTATAATAGTAAGCTCGCTAGTTACTATAGTATAGAGAGGTCGCACGAGCTACTATCGCGCATATACTACTAGCCGAATAGTAAACGGCATATAAAAGAATACGTACAGACCTACGTAGTATACTAGCGTATTAAAGCACTAAAGCACTTGCTATTTAGCAAGTTGTCTTTACTTCCTATTCCTAGGAAGCTATTCGTAGAGCTTATAATAGATTTTATTATAGGCTATCTACCTACTAAACGTAGGGGTAGCAAGGATGTATATAATGCTATCCTTATTATAGTAGATCGATTTACTAAAGGCGCTCGATATATCCCGGCGCGGAAGGATTAGACTACTATTAATATAGTAGAAGCGCTATAGAACAATATCTTCTATACCTATTAAGGAACCCCTAAGGGGATAGTGTCTAATCGTAGATCGATACTAATATCGCACTATTAGAGCGAAATATGCCTATAGCTAAGACTAAAGCATCGGCTATTAATAGCTTTCTATCTATAGACTAACAGTCAAATAGAGAGGCATAATGCTACCCTATAGCAGTACCTACGTAGCTACATTAATAAGAACCCCGAGGATTAGGTTAATCTCCTATAGCCTATAGAATTCGTATATAACAATAGCGTACACTCGTTAACTAAGGTTTTACTATATATAGCTATAATAGGCTAAAACGCTACCTTGCTATAGGATCTATTTACCTCGCTCGAGGCCGAGCGTAAGGAAAGGGAAGCGCGTTAAGTACCTAAGACACTAGTAGCTATTAAGAGGGTTTAAAAGATACGAGAAATTCACGCCAAAATAGCTAACAAACTAGCAAAGGCATAGGCCTATTAGAAGGCCTATTATAACAAGCATTATACGCTAATAACCTTTAAGTAAGGCGATATAGTTATACTTAGTACGAAGAACCTCCGTATCCGCAAACGCCTATCCCCTAATAGCAAAACAAGGCCTAAGCTCGCACTAAGATATATTAGCCTATTCTGCATTCGAGAGGCTAAGGGCATACAGGCCTATTAGTTGTAGCTTCTACCTTATTATACTATCTATAACACCTTCTATATATCCCTCCTTAAGCCGTACTACCTATACGAAGGGGATAAAGCACCTACTAAATCCGAGGACATACTAGCTAATAGCGAAGAGCTATAGTCTATAGAACGCATTCTAAAGCACCGGACTAGGTAAGGCAAGAAGGAATACCTATTGAGATAGCAAGGCTATTCGCCTAAATAGGACTCGTAGGAAGCTAAAGGTTCCTTTAAGGATATAACTAAGTTGCTAGATAAGTATTAGACTAGTATAAAAAATAAGAAGAAGACTAAGGGCCTATAATGTTACTAGAAAGGCCTAGGATTAATGCTACCCCTAGGGTACTATTAGCTAACTAATTAGAGGCAAGCAATTATTAGTAATAAGGGATAATAAGACTATACTACTATAGAATCTACCTCTTTACTAGCGTACCCTATAAGACCCTTCTCTTAGCGCCCCCTTTTATTCCTTTATTCTACTAAGGCTCTAAGGCCTAAACGATCGATAAGGGCGATACGCGCACGCGTAGCGGCGTACGAATAACGGTAACGAAGATAATAGTATCGCGCTACGAGCTAGTAGTATACCGGCGGCTAGCGCGGCTATATTAGTAACAGTATTACAGAGTATGTATTACTGCTTAAAGAAGGAAAGACACGTCTATATTAGTAACGGTATTGCCGAGTTGTTATTAGTTAAAGAAGGAAATTAGAAGCAAGGTAAAGTCGGCGCTAAGACGGCTAGCGCCGCTATTATTAACATTACCTACTATTATCGCTATATCTGCGAGGGCAACCTTACCTATACTACGAGCCTAAAGCACTATACTAACTAAGTTAAAAGATTGAACCTACTAAGAGTTTAATTAAAACTTTAAGCCGCTTAAAGATTAAGCGACTAATAGGCTAACTAAGGGCAAAACTATAGAGCTAAGCTAGCTAGGGTCGATCTTGTAGACAATAGGTTACTCCTCGATCTTTCCGACCCTTTAAGCGAGGCGAACCTTAACTATTGCACTTATAATAGCCTTTACCTATAGAAACTAGACGAACTATGTTTTTTAAAAAGATAAGATAAGATTAATAATTAAAGGCTGCTAAACCTAACTAATTAGGGCTAGTAAAACTACGATAGTAAATAATAGCCCTCGTAATAATAAGAACAACTCTCGGAAGCGGACATTGCTAGGTTTTTTTAAGAGTAGACGTAAAGAACTCGATACGATATTACTTAGAACGGAGGCAGTGCTATAATACCTCGTACGCCTACCTATTATAGTAGGGAAGGCGCGCTTATATTGTAATTAGTCGATAGTCCTTAATTCTCGTAATTATATATTACTTTATTATATGTAAGGATAGCGCAGTTAGAGTTAAACATTATATTATATTAGAGGTAAGGTTTAATATAGTTACATAATTAGGTAGTTACGTGTTTAATTTAGCGCGGGCTAAGCAGCTTATTAGACCTACTAAGTTAGTAGCAATAGAGGATAAGATTAGAATATAGACCGGCTACGAGGGCGCGGCCTTTAGAAGGGAAGCGTATATTAGGACTAAAGAGGTTATACGTAATTAGTATATAACTAGGCTCGAGTAAAGCTAGGGTCTTAATACCTTAGGTAGGGCTTAGCGCTCAGCAATAGGCCAACTCTCCTACCTTCCTCCCTCTTCTCCTAGATCCTTATTAAATACTACCTATACCTACTACTATCCTATCTACCTACTAACGTACCCTTATTATATCTAGTATATATATAGATAGTAAAAGGAGTAGGTAAATACTATTAGATATAATACTACTGTATTTCGCAAATCGTAAAATTCGCTATATTACCGCTTTATATAAGTATAGAAACTACTAGCTATATTTTAAACTTAAAGAATTATAATCTATTTCTTAATAGGAAAAATATATATTAAAGCTAGACGCGTACTATCTTTCTCAACTATAGGCCTGCCTACTGTTACTATAATAACTAAATCTATATCCGCGATTTACGCGCCAAGAACAATAGGAAGGTGAAACTCGTTACTCAATTTTGACACGTCTTTCTCCTTCTCCTACACAACACTCTTGGTCTCGAGCATTCAATTGTGTTCATTCCGATGGCAAGCATCACTGCAGCGCCTTATACCAAGATGCTAGAGACTCGCAAGAGCGGTGACTTGAACTCACTCCGCCGAACGCCCTCATAGACGAATCTCATCTAACTTGGTCATAATCTGGGAGATGTACGCTTCTCCAACAACAATTCCATCTTGGTCGTCCAGCAGTCCTCCTTGCTCCTCGTCCTTTAGTCCTTCCAGACATGCGACAGTGACCTCACTGTAAAGGTTTCCGAGGCTTCTCGGGACCAGGGTCCTGGCCAAACGGATATACCTCTGCTTGAGGGCCTCTGGACTCCTCAGAGCTCCTCCGCTCTCCAGCAGCTGCCTGCCAATCCCGCGACTACTACGATCTGTGAAACTGCCCCAGAGTGCGATCTCCAGAAGTACAACGCCCACACTGTACAGGTCGTGGCGCATGGTGAACTCGTCGCCCGCGCTCATCCTGTGCCGATCCGGGTGAAGGTAGATGTTCTTCTGCCATTCATCTACACGAACCATGTTAGACTTCGCATCTGCTTTGCGGACATCGTCGAAGCCGACGAGGTATGGATCGCCTACGACGTTGGGGTATGTTGAGGGCTGGTCACCATCCTGGGGGACCTCATCGAATATCAGGATGTTCGAAGGACGGATGTTCTTGTGGACGAAGTTTGCGGAGTGCAAGTACAGCACTGCAGACGTCAGGCGACGAGCGAGCACGATGCGGTCGGTCTGAGAGTGTTTGATACCGACAGAGATGTTTGTCGGATCTGTCAGAAGACTTTGAAGCGACCGAGGGTTGGCCTTTCGCTCTGGGTATGCGAAGTGCATCAAAAAACTGTGCCCAGCTTGGTCTTCAGAGAACCCAGTACAGTGTAGGAGCCCGGATTCTGAAGCGATCACATGATTCAGCCTGGCAGAGAGGTCTCGAACATTGACTTCTAGCTCTGCGGTCTGCTTCGAAGTCGTCACTGGGTCATACTTCCGATACTCGATCAAGGTCCTGGTTTGCGCCAGATCCCAGATCTCGGATTGATCAACTTTGGAAGTGATATCCTTGGCATCTGGTGTTCGCAGTCGAAGTGTTGCACGTCGTTGGTCGTCTTTGAATGCACCACGGATTCGGACAATCCTAGCTATGGCTGGGTTGCTAGTGATCTGCTTCTGACCCGCCGCAATGCTGCCGCCGAAGAACAAGACTACCATAGCACGGGTGACGAGTCGTCCATGCCATGTTTCGAGCTCCTCAACTGCCTCGCTGATCCGCTTCCTGCCGCTGAGAGAGAATGCCAGTTTCGTCCCCACGGTCGGTCTGCCTTTCGGAAACTGGTTGATCGCATTTTCCAGCGCTGTCCGGAGGACTTGAAAAAGCTGATAGACTCCATTCTTGATCGTCTCCGTCATCTGGTCATGGATCGAATGGAAGAAGCCCAACAGAATGTTGAGCTCGCCGCTGACCAATTCAGTGACGAAGTGCTCAAGCTTGACAACCTCGTCGAACTTCCTGTACGACTCGATTTTCTCCTTCAAGAAATTGCCATATTTGATGCACAGGTCGATGACTCCTGGCAACGCAAGCACTAATCCCGCTACGCCGGCCGCAGCTTCAGCTCCAGACATGACGAGGCGCGGGCGATCATCTGCGTGTCGTGTCGTTCAGCATTATATGGTATCCAGCGTGCTAACGTGTCAAGGCAACTACAAAATGCAATGGGGCGCTCCAGTTGCAGGGGAGTATGCATGAAACCCAGCACTTGGCCAATCGAGCCTTTGGGCTGCCGAAGAGGCGTCTCAGCTGATTTTCTTGGTGGCAGAGCTGAAAACAGAACCTGAGTTGGGACGAGTGGACAGAAAGCACGTCAATTTGGTACCTGTTGACCAGCTTTACTCCACCGCCGAAACATCACCAAGAGAAGCCCAAGCGAACTCTGAAATGCTGCTTTCGTTGATTCTTACAGCGAAGGCACATTGCCTCCTACAAATGTAATGACGGACAATCAAGAGTCGACTTTAATCTTTGCGCAGAACCCCATCGCCGCCTGCACCGAAATCTCGGCAGCTTTTCAAGACGAAGCGCTGACCAGCGGGAAGAACAAATTCAGCCAGATATCTGGCGGCAACTCGCTGCCGGGTCTTGCTACATTGAGGACTGTCGATGACCTCGTCACGTCGCTCGTATCGCTCGGCGTCCCAGGACCGCTGACCTTATATAGTCGCTTCGACGAAAGGAGCCGCCTTGGTCAGGGTGCCCAGTTTCTGGTGACTTCGGGCGACGTTTTGTACCCAGAAGACTGTCAGGAAGAGATTACTACAGTTGAGGTGGCCGTCAAATGGCCCCTTTTCCAGTATAACGAAGATGGATCTTTGGATCTTACCTCGCCTCGATCTCGCCAACAAGTACACGACATGTATCTCGAAATAATTGCTCTCAGAAACAAGTCCTTGCGCTATCACAGGGACATCGTAGACCTGTATGGTTGGGGTCTGGATGGCACCTGGTATGAAAGACCTCTGCTTGTGCTCGAACTTGCTTACGCCGACCTCTCCTCCATCTTCTCGAAACACGAGTTGGGCCCTGACTCAATTCACCAGCTCAGCATCGATGTCGGACAGGGATTGGATGCGATACATGCAGCCGGTATTGTACATGGAGATCTCAAGCCGCAGAACATTCTGGTATTTCGAAACAACAGGTGTCAACAGGTGCCGTTCATTGCCAAATTGGCTGACTTTGGACTGTCCGTGGGCGACCACCAATCACCTTTGGATAAGTGTATCGAGGTCGTGGGCATGTCCAGTCAGTGGTGTGCACCTGAAATATGCCATGGCTCCAAGCTCACGGTCGCGCAGCTTGTCAAAGCCGACAACTTCTCTTACGGAATGGTCCTCTGGAGCATCGCCTTTCTGCGAGGACATCCTCCGTCCAGCAAGCTTCCAGGAGATGCCATGGCGTTGATCAACTATCCCACCCGATTCCCTGAAGCTTTCGCTTCACAACTCAAGCGTGGGTTACCGCTCCTGCTGGCAGATTCAGTCGAAGCTCGTCCCTTCGAGGTTGGTGAGTTGTTGATGACAGATTCAAGCGCAGTGAGATATTGGTGAGCTGGGGAATTGCAAGACCAGATCCGGTTGCGCCGCTAATGAGGGATTAGGCAGCAGGATGAGGCTAGTAGGAAAGAACAAGTGATGCTCGAGCAAGAGACCGACAGTCTACAACGCTCGTTCCCTATCGAGCCTATATCTATCGAGCCGCTCTACCTCCAGGGCTTGGAGGCATCGTACAGACGATACAGACCTACTCTGACAGCACCTCAGCTCCTTTCCTTGTTCCTTGCTTTGACGCATGGATCGCCGACCAAATCTGGCAAGGAGTTACAGCTCGCGGTGTTGCAAGCGGCTATCAGCAGAGGAAGTGTGCCAGCTCAAGCCATCATCGCCGACCTTTGTCACAATTACGGGGTTGCTTTCGAAATTGACACCGAGCTGCTGCAAGATGCTGTCAGGACTGGATCTTTGATGGCCTGGAGAAGACTTCATGACACAGCGCCGAAGGTTGCCGCAAGAGCGTGGGACCAGTTTCGTGAACGAACAGGATATAACCAATTCTACTCGCCGTTGCCTGCCATCGCAGAATGCGACCTTGCCTATAGGGATGAGTACCAGAATAACTATCTCCATATCATGGCTGCCACAGGAAAGCATATTGAGCTTAAAAGTGCCCTGAAGACTGGTGACTTAAGAGCGTCAATCAACACTTGCAACATATTTGGCGAGACCGCCCTCTACAAAGCTTGCCTTGCTGGCCACTGGCAAGCCGTATCAGTCTTGTGTGAGCAAGGCGCAGACGCGTCGATTCGATCCGGGATGATCGGGCTCACTTGTCTTCACTGGCTGTTCAGCTTCTCGCCTGCACATATTCGAACCATACTCACGGCCCTGCTGAAAGCAGGGGCCAATATCGAAGCTTGTACAGAACCTGTGTCCTGGATGTCAAATCTACATTTTCCGTTCTCCTGGCCTCCAGGCTCTCCACTCCATTGGGCGATCTTCACGGGATGCACCATAGCAACCACAGAATTGCTCATGAAAGGCGCAAATCCCAACGCGCGTGATGGTCGTGATCCATATATCACAGACGAGAACGTACGAGTGATGCGAATTCATGGCAATGCCGAAGAAGGAGAGTACTCAGAATCAGACGATGAGACTGGAGGCTTCACGGTGGTTGACCTAGCTGCAGCTATGCATGATGCGAAAGCTCTGCAGCTTATACGCAGACTCAGCACTCACCCAATCATCATGAGCGAGGACGAAGAAGGATATACACCTATTCACCGCCTATCGTACTTGCGAATGTCCCGGACAAGCAATAAACTACGGTTCTGGTATCCAGCATTTGTAGGAACACCTGCTGAACGGAAGCAGAAAATCGTGGAGACGATCCAAGAACTCCAGAAGATGGGCGCCGATATAGACCAGCTTACCAAGACACCAATGAATCCTGGCCGCAGTCTGGTGTCCGGTCTCACACCACTCATGATAGCAGTGACCGAGACTGACGACATTGCCACCTCTGCCCTTCTCCAATGTGGAGCAGACCCAAACATCGCAAACGCCAACGGCGCAACAGCCTTGGTACTACTTCCCGACAGGTCACACGATTTCAGCGACCTATTCGTCATCATCGATCTGCTTGTGAAAAGCGGCGCTAATACCAACCATAAAGCGAACGATGGGACCACGCCATTGTTGACTGCCGCCCGACGAGCAGGCACGCTTTACAGACATATCATTAATGCCGGGGCCGACCTTAAGACCACGTGCCGTGGCATCAATGTGCTTGCTGAGCTATTGTACAGCAAATCTCATCCACGCTGCATGCATGAAGGATTGAGTACCAGCGAAGAGTCCCTCGCACAAGACAATTATCTCGCACAGCTCATCGTTTCCAAAATCCCGGATCTTGGAATTTGGGCTTGCAATGTAGACAAGGATAATGGAAGTCTGCTACACTACGCAGCTGCATCGGGACTGGTGAAGTGTGTCGAGGTGCTTATTGCTGCGGGTCTGGATGTCAATCAAGTTCGCAAAAATCATTTTTCTGGCCCCTCAACGCCGCGGGACTATAGTAGTACTACGATCTTCATTGGCGAGGGCACACCGCTCGATGTCGTGGGAAAGCATATTGATGCCCTGTTGAGGGTCACGAGACGATTGGTTGCTCCGTCGGTCACCCGTTTCATTGTTGAACAGTATAAAGCGGTTGGAAGGATTTTGGTGGCTGCAGGTGGTACAAGTTCGAATGGGTTGTGGGCAAAGCACTCCGGTGCCTAAGAGATCGATGCAGAGATATCGAGAACCACGTCGATTGCTAAACCTAGGAGATGAGCTAGAGCACTTTCCCGCTTGCTGCGAGTCTCCATGCATTCGAGGAGGGCGGTTGTGTTGGGAATGAGGCTGAGAGGAAATTTGACGAGACCGCGAAGATAGCAAGAGGCGAGCGGGTTCAGCATACGAAGCCTGGGATAATACTACATGACTATCCGCTGCGCTCACGATGGCCGACGAATGTGCCAGCCGCTCCATTAGTGATCTGACACAATTGATTGCATTCTCATGATCAGACAACACGTTCGAAAAGAACTGTACCCTAAGGGATCAAGAATTTACCCTGACAGCAGGATGGAATCGAATGCTGAGCAAGGATCAAGAGAGCGTCCTCCATTCGCCGACTTATAGCACGCATTCCTTGTGTGTGGATGGCGGTGTTACAAGCCTCCAGTAAAAGTGTACCTCAAACACCCAATGTCCCAGTAGCCACCGATTCCACCGTTGTCACCTGAAAGAATGCAGTTAGCAAAGACACGCGGGTAGGTAAGTGAGCAGAAGATAAAACTTACATTGATAATAGATAGTAAGCATCAAAGACCAACAATAATCCACAATGTCAATAGGACTGTTGACGTTTTGAGTTTCCACCCCTTCTACAACGCAGTTATCTCTCCACGCCACGGAATAGTAGTAGTCCACCCCTCGTTCATCCGGATCATGTTTGGTTGCTGGCGAGGAGCCCGGACCTAGGTCAGTGTTTTCGTTGTCGGAGCAAAATGCAACGGCACTTGTATGTTGCCAGATTAGATCGATCGATGCGTGACCAGGAAGCTCGTCGGATCCTCTGCAGACGATATTCTCGTACGGGAAAGGTGTAGCGCCGCCGGGTAGTTGGACTGTCGTTGTTACTGGGGCTGAGGAAATGGTTGAGGGTGTGCTGGAAGATGACGCTGATGCGGTTGATGTCAGAGTTGGAGTTGCAGGTGATTCTGGGGTTGGGACTGAACTAAGAGTTGAATCGGGAGTCGAAGTAGGAGTCGAATCGGAGGTCGGACTGGGAGTTGGAGTGGCAGACAACGTGCACGCACTGTTGGCTTGACGTTTTTGATTGGGAGCAATTTGACTGCAGTCGTATGTTTTAGCGACACCGATCCAATAGAATGCCTGACATGTTCCGGTTTCGAAGGAATCTATCGTTGCTTGCGGCACCCTGGCTCTGCTCGAAGCTGCACAGATCGCGTCGAATGGCAACGACGATTCCTTCCCAGAGCCCTGACTTCTGGCTATGCAGAAGTGGAGATAGAAGTACTCACCCTGGTAAGGCATCCCAAAGGTCACTGCCCATCAACTTTCCCTGGATCCAGCATTGCCAAATTGCTTTCTGTCTCAGTCCGCAATCTATAGCTGGATCCAAATTTTCAAACGTATCTGGATCCTCTTTCTGGTAGTTGCTGTAAAGGATCTACGAAGACTTGAGTCAGCATCTCAAGACCACAGTGAGATATTCAACGAAACGGGTCGTCGTTGCCACGCGGTATATCTACTGCGCAGCGTCCAGCGAGATCGTGACGTGACTTACCATCGCCTTGCCATAGGCCCCGGTCTCCAACTGATTGTTGAGGGTCTGTCTCCTGTATGTAAACTGAGAAATTGGGACGCCAGGCATTAATTGTGCCAATGTCGTCCTGATCGGGGTGAGTCTGTCTGTCGGGACTTCTGGTGTGGCGCCGTCGAAAAGAGGCTGGTTATCTCCATTCGTAAGGCTGGCGCTCATTCCAGAAGTGCTCGCGTCCAGGTCGAGGCTATATGTCGCCGGCGTCATGATGAAGATCTTTGTGGTTGCTGTGTCACCGAATACGCCACCCTGAACAAGAGCGCCAAGAGGCTCAGTATCGGCTTCTCCACCAGCTCGGCCGTTGCTGGAACAGATTAGTTAGCACTAGGTCAACGAACTGGAATGGCGATGGAAGATGACTGCTCGGCATACTTTAGGTAATCGATCACATCTGCTTGGAAGTTCGGTGGACCCCCGGGTTCTGTGAAAGACGGCTCCCACAGATGAGAGATATATGCCCCTACAATGGACACCGTCAGTAATGCGCCATTTGAAAAAGCTTCCTCGGCGCAGACCAGTTCAGTCCCCTTTTGCTGTCTCTGGGAATGTTGACATTGTCCCCGTCACAGACTTCGATTGCGTAACATTGAAAAGCGACATACCTAGCCGAGATACCACCAGAATGGATGTGCAACCAGCGAGTCCAGTTACGTAGATGTTGGTTTCGGAGGCATCGAAGTATCTGAATCGGGAACTAGAGAGGCCTACTTGGCCAGCGTTGTCATGGACCACGTTGACCGACCTTTCCTCTCCCTTGACAGCATCATAGAGCTCAGCAACCACGTCCCAGTCATTTCTGTTCGGAATGTCACGTATGGCCAAGTTGGAGTGCAAGAAAAACGAAGTAAGATTGCTCGGCTTGTTTGTCGTGGGATATGGAAGCGAGGGTACGGCTGTGGGAGTTGAAAGCTCGCGGCGAGCATTGCAACCCTGACAACCAACGGTACAAGAGTAGGGGTATCCTGAAGTGGTGGAAGTGGTCGTCGTTGAGCTTGAGTCGTCCGATACATCGCATCCATACACTGTGGCACATGTAGATAACACTGAACTAGCAGTAGTGGTGACGGTGGCCCCAGCTGAAGAAACTCCGAAGGAAGTGCTGGTGAGACATAGTTCAGCAGACTCGGTCTCGCAATCGTCCGGCTCTGGCTCATAGGTCGGCAGCAGATCAGGACCAACTGTAAGGGCAGGCCAACTAGGAAGCGTGCCACTGACACTGATTGAGATAGACAGTCCGGGAGGAAATGTAATGGGTGGTGGAGGTCCAGGTGGGTGAATCCCAGGCGGCAGATTGAACTTCCAGCCGAGGATATCGGTATCTAGCCAGTCAATACAAAGCGAGAAGAACCACAGGTTACAAGGTATAATGGTACCATCATCGTCAGCCTTCGGTTCTTGTACAGGAGTAGTGATGGGAAATAAACCCAGAGGAGTGGTTGAAGTTGAGCCCGTGCTACTCGAGGGAGGCGAAGTGACAGGGCCTGGTGAGAAGGTCGTCACTACACCATCGGACTGTGTGATAGTAGTTGGTTGAGTGATGCCGGTCGGAATGGTGAGTACAGCTCCCGACTGCGATACTATAGTAAGGCCGTCCGAATTTGTCGTAGTAAGTACTGGTGCGTTGCTTGTCGAAGATGAGAAGCTAGGGGTGAATGTGATCACAGAACTGTTCCCATTCGTGATTGTTACTGGAGCAGAGAGTGTGGAAGAGATTGTAAAGCTTTGACCTGACTGCGTGATGATTGTGAGTCCATCGGACGTCGTTGTTGTAGATGTGAGATCGCTCGTCGAGGGCAGCAACGACGGCGAGCTGGTCGAGTCAGAGATGATCACAGATCCAGAAGTAGTTATTAAAGTCGTAGGCGTTGCGACGAATGAAGAGCTGGCGACTTGACTAATAGTGGATATCAACGTTGCCCCAAGCGAGTTCGTCGTGGTGACCACAAATGCAGTGTTTGATGTGGTGGTCTGGTTCGAAGAGATCGTAGTGATGCTCGACCCCGAGCTAGACGAAGACGGCACCGAAGTTGGCAATAATGTATCAGATGCGCTTTCCGGAAGGGAGAGCGTACCCGTTGAAGGGAAGTCAGTAGATAGAGAGCCGGTACTAGAGCTTTCGATGGTCACAGTCTGCCCAAGAGAGTTTGTAGTTGTGGTTAAGCCTGAAATCGTCGTGGAAAGTGTAGAAGAAGGCTGCAGACTGGAGCTTTCCGATATGGTCTGCGAAGGAGAGCTGGTGGTTGGCACGAAGGCTGAAGTACTCTCAGAAGACGCAGAAGAAGGCTGAATCGTGGTGATGGAATTGTCCGGAAGTGTCACAACTATTGCTGAAGAGATGCCTGGAAGTGTAGGTCAAGTGTCAGTAGGTATATCTGAGGAAGCGGAATGTCTCCTGTTTTTTTTTATTTGTCTCCGCAGTAGACTCAAGGTCACAGGCATTGAGAATAAAGGATGCCTGCCAGTGGGGTCTTTGCTTACCAGTAGGCAAAGTGATCGCAATGGAGCTGTCAGATATAACAGTCTGTCCGAGAGAATTGGTAGTGGTAATGACTCCCGTTGTTTGCGAGGAAGAAGAAGAGGAACCTTGCAATGGCGTTGATAGGGTGGTAGTCGATATGCTGCTGATAGGAGTCGTCGATATGCCGGTGGTGCTACTGATGAATTGAGAAATACTGCTACTTGGCGAAGAGGAAGTACTTGCAATGCTGGAGGTTGGCGAGAATCCCGAGCCTGTCAACGTTGTGGTTGAGCTTGACGTCAAGGTGAAGGATATACTTGTAGTCAGGGTCGAATAGCAGTCCGTATCAGTACCGGTCTTGACGGTGACAGTCGATGTGGATTGATTGTGGCAGCGAGGACGATTACTGCAAAATTTCCCATTGCAGCTACTTCCACAGCAGGCTTGAGGAACGGTGCAGTGTTGACCACGGCCGAGAGATGACAGAGACGGATTGGCGGCCCGCAAGCAAGAGACGTCGATTGCAAGCTCTCGAGCGATCTGTTCCAGAGTCGCGGGCGTGGACAGGACGACCTTCACTTCACTGTCTATGTCGACAGCAATATCTCGGATACCATTGTGCTGTCCCCTCTCAGGGAGCGTCAGCGTTTGAGCAAGGCTTGAGAGCAGCAGAAAAGCTGTTGCGAAGTTTGAAACTCCCATTGGCGGTAGATGTGGTCTTTGTCCAGCGAACGAGGAAGAGAAGTCGAAGCGAATTTACACCTCTCGGTCAAGGACTATGAGCTTGGTAGGCATGAGAAACGGATGAAGAGTTGGACGAAGTTATAAGTAAACCAGCAATGAGCCCATAGGCGATTTGATCCAATACTCATGGCTCTTACCCCGTTCTAGTCCCACGCAGGTGGCGATTAATAGCGTATGGTCCAATGCTACTTCATTGTGGTTGCACCAAGAAGCCACCTCAGGACTCTGCGGTTCCTCTAGAGCGTGCTGCCGAAAGACTCGAGGTAGGACGGACTGGGAAGGATTCGATTGAAATCCCAGCCATGGCCCATGCCGCATTCAATGATCTCGGATCGGAGTGTGTCTAGGTAGCAGCAATGGGCCTGGCACATGTTCATTCATCTGATCGGACTGGCGTCGCACAGCAGTGACAGCCTGGTCATACCATGATATTGCGGCTGAAGGGGAGTGCACCATCCAGATTTTTGCTCTTTATTAAGCTATCCTGAAACATTGGTTGCATCGACTTTCTTAACTAGAGAGTACGAGAACTATCGAGTCAACTAGGTATAGCGGTGGGCGTTTCCCAATTGGTGAAACCGAGCCCAGCCAAGCTGAAGTTCTGTGCGACGTGCATGTGCAAGGGCATGAGCATCGTCAAATCCTTTCGAGCGCTGAGTGCCTTGCTAGTTGAGAGGCTGCGGGTTCTGGCATGATTTTCGGAAGACTTCTGGTTTGCGACTTTCTCCCTTCCGGCTTGCAACAGAATCGTTCAATCTCGAATACATCAATCTGCGCTCGGAATGGCACCAGCGAATGCAATGACGCTCTGTACCGAAGCGTGCAGGACTGACGATGTGTCCGTCATGGAACAAGCCATACTTCTCGCGTCACAGCCGAGCTCTCGCCATGCAGTGTCCGACATCGTCCAGCGCGGGCTCAAACGTGCCTGCGCGAGGAACGCGATCCACGTGCTCCAATACGTGCTTGAACACGGCCCCGATGTCGAGAAATTGATTGCCAAAGACATCTTGATCAACGACGAGCCTACCAAACCCTCGCAGGAGGTGCTCGAGATTCTCGTCGCTCATGGATGGGACATCAACAGTCGAGGCGACAGCTGGCCGTTGCTTTGGTTCGTCGTGGAATATCCCGATCTTGTGGAGTGGTGCTTGGACCATGGCGCGAAAGTCGATGTTCCTGACGACTTGTCTCGTGGAAGCTCACCGCCGCCCACAATCCTGGGCCTGGCCGCTTCATCGGGCAGTGTTGAGACCTTTGAGCTGCTACGAAGGAGAGGTGCTCCGCTGGACCGACGCACGCTGCACCTCGCCGTCGAGAAAGCAACATTGCTGGCCTCGAGAGGCACAAGTCAGCCCTACACAGACCGAATGGCCATGGTGCGACATCTGATTGACGTCGTCAAGCTTGATGTCAATGCCATCGAACATCGCGTTGGCGATCAATGCAGCACACCGCTCTGCTATCTTGCTCGCCGTCCGAACAGCGACAGCCATCGAGAGCTGATCAACTTCTTGCTGGATCGCGGTGCAGATCCAGAGATGGATTGTGGAACGGAAGGGGGTATCGACTGGCCGCGTCCAATCGATTGCGCAGAGTCTTGCGGTAATCTGGAATTTCTACACGCCGTACAGGAGTGGCGAGGCAGGCAGCAAGGCGACGGGTCGAGCGAGAGCATTTAGGAGACGACGCATGCTCTTGTCGCCTGCGAATGCTCTTGTCGCCTGTGCTAACTTCCTGTCCATGCTCGGATCTGCGAATGATGCTAGGGGGCTTGATCTAACAAAAGATTCCGGAAATGCGTACAGAACCTGCCTCTAATTAGGCTTATAAAACGGTTCCTAGAAATTACTATACTCGATAATATAAGCATAATTTAAAGTATATGAATTAAGAGATACGCTCTAGATAATCCGAAAACATAAAAGTTATTTTTATATCTAGCTACTTATATCCGGATACTATATATAGACCTATAATACTACGCTTTCTCGATAAAACTAAATAAGCGAAATCTTTTAGAATTATCTAGCTATCTACGTAATTATATATATTATAGTTCGCTAGTACTCGTACTCCTCTACCGTATATTATAGTTAAGGTTCTAGTAGGCTATCTAGTCGAGGTAGTATATAGTTAAGGTTACATATAAGGAACCGATATTATTAAAAGGATAAAAGCCGAGTCTAAGTATAAAGAAAATAGAGTAGACGCGCTAAGATACGTATAGATATATATATATATATATCCGTATATTCGCTAGTCCTATTTAAGTACGCCTAGTAGATACGTATAGTCTATTCGATATATTCCGCTTCTATAGTCTTCTAGAGTTACTCTCTACCTATAATATCGCTTAATATAACTAACTATTCGCTATTATAGATCTCGTTTACTTCTATAGTCTTCTAGCGTTACTCGCCGCTAGCGCGCCCTTTTCTATTATAAACTACTAAATAATATCGCCTCTTACTACTAATATAGGTAATCGCGCGTTTCCGTCGTATTTATATAGCTCTACTAAGGACCGCAATCGTAAGAATAAGAACTAGAATAAGAATAAGAACTAGGCCTATTAGTATATTCCTCGTTTGCCTAGTCGTAAGGGCTAAGGCACTTAGTCGTAAGGAGCCTATCTAGTCGGGCAATATTGCCTACCTCGATATACTATATAGTTAAGATATACCGACTCTAATATAGTACTTCTAATATCGACTAAATAATATCGGACCCGCTACTAAACTCGAGGAGATCTAGATACTAGTATAGGATACTAGATTATATACTAAGGCGGAGCAGTTTTAAAAGGAGATCGTTAAAGCTAGCTTAAATTAGATTCTCGATATATTCTATCTAAGTCGTAGCTTTACTACTAGTTAACTTTAGATTAACGTACTCTACGCCTTTATCTTCGTATACTAGGATACCGTTATAGTCGCTAAAATAGGCGCTAGTAAGAGTCTACTATACTAAGCTTATATACTCTTAACTAGGATAATTACGATCTAGATTATTATACTAAACCGTAGCTTATAACCCCTTAAGATACGTTACAAATCGACTCGGACTAAGTAAATATAACTACTAGATTTCGACCTTATACGCTACGAAGGCGCCGCTATAGAAAATCAGCCGTACTAATTTTAGTAATAATTAATGGCTGCCTAACTAGGACCTAGACAGTCGTCGCTCCTAGATTATTAGGCCTAGTAATCTTAGAAAAGAGCCGAAGCCCGAATACTAATACTATTACAGCAGGCACGGAACGCCGGGCCTGTATATACTTCCGTAGGACCGTAGATACTCTTACTAATACTATACCTTTGCTAACCTACTAATCGTCCCTCGTATAACAATTAGTAGCTTCGCTTTAGTTAGATCTAGATCCGTTTAAATAGTACCCGAGTACTAGACGAACAGGCACCTTAAAAAACTAAAAAACCCTACCGCCGCCGCTTAACGCGACCGCGAGGTCCCGTACTAGCGGCACTGACCTACCTACCTAACTATAACAACTACCTACGCTCGATACTAATACGATTACAATAGTCCTCTAAATTCCGCACATTATCTTCCGTATATATGTAGCTATATACCGACGGCGCCCTATAGCCCTCTAATTGCTAGACTAGGCGGCCCGCCTTCCTTATCTAGGTTTGTTTACGCGATACTAGCACCTACCGAAGCGGGCACTAGTCGAGGTAAGAGCCTGCTAGTATAAGCACCCTAGCAGTTTCCCGACTCTTATCTAGTTCCTTAACTCTATACTTATCCTATACTTATAAGATTATCGAGCCTACGCTTACTCTATAAATATACTAGCTTCCGCGCGCGCCGATTTAGACGCCTACTCGTTAAACATCGCTTTTTGCTTTAAGGAATTCTTAGCTAACGCCGGTTACGCTAAGTTAGTATACTAGAAGTAGAGAGACCCGTTAAAAGCAGTCGTTACGACAATTACTACTTATTATTAGCCCCTAGAAGAATATATACCGCGAAAACTCTCAGACGCTAGAGGTAGTACTACCCTTAGTTTCCTCTAGAATTAGGCAGTTAACCGCTCTTTAGTTACGGTAGTAGCGAAGACGCTAATTACACTCCGTAACGAACTTGCTATTTTAGACTCGATAGAACCTAACGACTTAGCGGCTCCTACTCTAGAACTAGCACCGCCGTTACTAGACATAGTAGTGCCTATACGTATAAGTCCGGACACTAGCCTATAGCTACGTCGCCGTCGGACTATTTTAGTAGCTAGTATACGACGAGTTATATACGTACGTTATAGGTCCTTACCGATTGTATTTCCCCTAGGCCTACAAGAACTTAGTACCTTAGAGCTATTAGTCCCGAGTAGTCCTAATTTGTCTTTACCGGTTTCTGTCGACCTTAAGTAGTAGGCTCCTAAATAGCAAGGTCCGGAGCAATAGAGCCCTAAGCCCGAATAGTAAGAGCTCTTAGCCCCGAACAATCTAGAGTCCCTTTTATTAGGCACTAAGCTTTACTAATAAGGTACTTAGTAGTAAGAGCTTTAGTAGCGGAGGCCTAAACCAGAATATTAACGTCCTAAGACGTAGTAATAAGGACCCCGATAATAAGAGCCGTTAATCCTACCCGCTTCTACTAAAGATATAGCCGATATGTCCTAAGAGATAGACCTAGAGTTCTAGCGTACAGACTTAGTATACGTAGAGCCTAGCGTAGAGCGTAATCCGCCCCCTCGCTAGTAGCGCTATAATAGGTTAGTCGACGCTTTCCTAGGTACGGAGGCTAGGCGTCTAGTCGCGGACCGCTAGCGTATACGTAATACTAGCGCGGGACTATCCTCCTAAAACTAGCGAAACGGTAAGTAGCTAGCTTACGACAATCCCTAGCTCTAACGTCTATAAGAGGGCGCGCTACGCGAAGTCCCGGTACGTAAGAACTAGAACGCCGCTAGCGCTAACGCGGCCGCTAAAGACGCTAACGGCGAAATCCTAAATGCCGCTAATCTAGCCGTCCTATATAACGAGATACGCTAGCTATTTAGACAACTGTTAAATTAATAAGTTATATAGACCTAATAGCTTAGGGACGAGATCCGGGACGAGATCGACTAATTACGCTAGAGTATCCCTTCGAGCTTAGTATAAGACAGGCTAGACACTAGAAGAGCTAAGCGCCTCGCGCGTATAGGTTTAAACGAATAGGTTCTATATAAACAAGTTCTATTAGCCCTACTACCTAACCTAGTCGAAGCCTAGCCCTATTACTTACGCCGTAATATATAACGCAACGCTAAGGCTAGGCAACGCCGCTATAGCTAAGGCGGTGCTAGAGGGCCTCTAAGCCTAAGCCTAGGTAATTCTAGTACCTAGGGCGGGAACTTTAGCTCCCGAGGTTACCGCTTTAACCCGCACTATATCGACAACTTCTAGTTTAGCCGCTTACCCTATTATAGCCCGTAGCGTTCTTAGCGTTTAGAGAGGTTCGATCCGACGGATATTAGATATTTCTACCCCGACGCCCTATACGTAGACTTAGATAGCTAGGATATCTATACGTATAGTAACAAGGTTACCTTTACCTTAGTGCACCTGTTTTTAGACGCGGCTTGCGATTACGCGGTAGTTAATTACGCTCGCATAGTGCGTACCTAGCTTACTAAGTGCCTACGTAGGGCCGTATAGTAATAGTTTATTTACGAGCTAACGAGCAATAACCGCGATACTATTCGCGGAAGAGAGGGCATTAAGCGTTAGTATAAGGTACTAAGGGACAAGTTTAGTAGATCTATTATCGAGGCCTAGGACAAGCTATACGCCGAATCTTATATAGTATAGGATATACGTAACCGTAGAGTACCCTAGTAGTTTATTATAAACTGTATCCGCTACGTACGCGAGGCAGGTCTCGAGACAGACCCTAATAGACCGTACGCTCTTCTCTACTAGGCGTAGTTACAATTCGAACCCCGCCTATAAGACAAGCTCGATAAGCCTTTACTAAGTAATACTATTTATACTTTTACGCGAGCCGTAGAAGACAAGTATAAAGTATAGTACCGTAGGTACACATAGTCCGATAGCTACGGTATAGTACGAGGCCGTAATAGGTATAATAGTAAGTTACAATACCGAAACGCTCGTAATAGCGACTAGTACGCCGATTCTTCGGGCGCGTATCGCGATACTTTAGGTCGCGGTTACGCCGGTAGGTTCGACGGTCGGTACGCCGTAGTAGTACGCGGATATCGCGACAATTTAGGTCGTAGTTACGCCGGCGGCTATAGCAATAAGCGCCCTAGAAATAGTAGCTATACTAATTAAAACTAGTATTAGCGCCGAGATTAAGGAAACGATAGGCAAGCCCTAGCTAGAGAGGGACGCCTAAAAGAGTACGCTTCTAACCGTAATAGGGAGCTACGTAATAATAATCGAGGGTACGAGGCACGCGGCGGCAATCGAAATACTAATCGTAGGTAACGATAAGATAGGGGTACGTAAAACGACGTACGTAATACCTAGGGTTAGTAAGAACGCGGCCGCTAAGGTAATAACGCCCCGCGTAACTATTACGCTAATAAGTAGGTACCGGAGCCTCTAGTCGAAGAGCCTATATCTATCCTATAGCCGCGTTTATACTTACGCCTACGATCTAGCTTACGCTACTCGGCGAGGCTAGTAAGCCTATACTCCGTACC